CGCTCTTTGTGCGTAAAAGAACCCCTGCAACAACTCTTTGAGGGGTTCGTATGTGTTCTTTTTGCAAGACCAAATGTCTGCACCTATCCAACATTCCCAAATTTGTTATGCTATATCTGGTTCTATGGTGGTCTGCTGAGCATAGCACAACTTTAAGCGGATGTTGATATTTCATGCCTTGATATAATCAACGTTATTTCTTTCTTTAATCCAAATTGATGCAAAGGAATAAGATACGTTTGCTATGTTACAGACTAATCCCTCGTACTCCGAAACCCGAATCCATATAAATAACTTAAAGTAAACAGCATGTGACAAAACAAAAGTCATATTATCTTTAATTGTGTTGCACGTAATGAACAAGAAAAAACAATGGAGAATTTCAGATTCCACATTAAAAAGATGAATAAGTTTAACAAAAATACAGAACACGATAAAGGCAATTTCAAAAAGGGGAAGTCCATGAAAATTGACCAAATCACACGCTATCAAGCAACGGAACAAATGAAAAACAACTGCCATATTCCTGACTTGGTACAGGCATTTTCCGAAGAAAATGCTAGGTTAAACCTGGTTTTATAGCTAGTTAAACCTCCGACTTGTATGACAGTTGTTTATAGCTCCGTTTTATGGAAAAAATTGGGTGAGCAACCCAAACAGACATAATAGGTTAACGTGACAATAACTGAGATCCAGCAGTCAATTCTTATCATTAAAATTGTCATTTATCTTTTTTTAAATTAGGAGTACTCGTTTCAAATAATGATAACGCGCAGGACAGATGAATAAGTTTTAAATAAAATTTCAATAGGGTTTACAAGGGGATCACATGCATTTGTAGTTAAAAACTATTTATTCATTCCTGGGCGGACGACGATTTTTTTTTCAGTTTTCTAAGAAGTAAACCTCCGTGTCTGGTTTATTTTTTCAACTTAAACTTTGACAGATGCGACATTGTAGAGCAGTAAATTTCAAATATTTGTTTTAAATATGAAAACTCATTGAAAATTCTGTCAAGTTCTTCCCTAATCAAACCTAGCCGCCCCCTCCCCCATAAAAATCAAATGGTAGCTCCCTAATAAAAAAAAGAGACTCGGGAACACCGGACAATCTAGGACAAACATAAGCAGTTAACTGGGGTCGTGACAAAAAAAGCTAAGGCATATTTTGTGAACTTTAATTTATAAATTACAATCTTCTTAGAAGTTAATCATAGAATAACAGATTACAGTACACACCAATGGAACAGCAACCTAACGGCACAAAAGTAAAAGACATATATCTGGTTTTATTCATATTAACAAGGACTGTATCGACAGCCTTTAATGATACATGTATAAATAAAATCGTCAATACCATTTAGAAAATGATTACTAATTCAATAGTTCTTTTATGTTAACGTATGCCTTCGGGATGTGCATTTTAATCTAGTGCAAGCCATGACGTTTATTTAAATATTATGGTTTGATGAACTGAGAAATAAAATATCTTTAGGTGGAATATTAATAATTTACTCAATAACATCAATATCAATCAGAGTGTATTCTACCAACATGCAGATATGGTTTAGTACATGTACATCGAAACGTAAAAACGTAATTGCTACGGATTCTTAAACCAATAACGTAATCAAAACTAGAGGCTCTAAAGAGCCTGTGTCGCTCACCTTGATATATGTGCATATCAAACAAAGGACACTCTCCAACATTGTAGACGAGAATAGACTTCATGACAAAAAACTCTATTTTGTTGATCTTGTATTACTGATCTTTTAGTCTGTTTAGTTTCTCTCTATCTTCTTTAGTTTTTGCTCAAAACACAAAAGAGGGTAAAAAAAATCCTCATTTAAGGGCAATCACTCCTATGAAGAGTGACAGTCAACTAACTATATCGGCAAAATTTGACTTTTTAATAGATCTTGCCTTGCTGATAATTTTTGTAAATTAAAGTGTTTATTTATCTATTATAATTTAATTCATATAAGGCATAAAGGAAAAAAAAAATGTTTCTCTGTAAATATCATAGTTTTCATGATAATAAGCAAAAATGAAAAAAATGGTAAAATTTGTCATTTATGGGCAATAACTCCTATAAGAATTTGTCTAACAGTTTTGACGTATATGGACAATTGGTAGAGCTCATTAATCTGAAAATTTTTGCTCCTTTCAGATTTTCTCTATTTATAACGGGTCAAAAAATAATAGAAAAAAATTTGCATTTTACCCCTATGTTCTATTTTTAGCCATGTCGGCCATGTTGGTTGGTAGGCGGGGACATCGGACACATTTTTTAAACTAGATACCCTAATGATGATTATGGCCAAGTTTGGTTAAATTTGTATCAGTAGTTTTAGAGAAGATTTTTGTAAAAGATTACAAAAATTTACAATAAATTGTTAAAAAATGACTTTAAGGGCAATGACTCCTTAAGGGGTCAATTGACAATTTTGGTCATGTTGACTTATTTGTAGATCTTACTTTGCTGTACATTATTGCTGTTACAGTTTATCTCTATCTATAATAATATTGAAGATAATAACCAAAACCTGCAAAATTTTCTTAAAATTACCAATTCATGGGCATGGCGGCCATCTTGGTTGGCGGGCTGGGTCATCGGACACATATTTTAAACAAGATACCCCACTGATGATTGTGGCCAAGTTTGGTTAAATTTGGTACAGTAGTTTCAGAGGAGAAGATTTTTGTAAAAGTTAACGACAACGGACGACGACGGATGACGGACGACGACGGACGACGGACGACGTACGCCGGACGCCAATTGATGAGAAAAGCTCACTTGGCCTTTTAGGCCAGGTGAGCTAAAAAGAGGCACAGAATGCTTATGTCCCCCTTTTTAATCGGGAAAGATAACACTTTGGCAAAAAATAGTCAAAATAATTTCCTACGCGCAGGCTACGTTCGGTGCTATTTTTAACACTACGTACAACTTTCCTCGAAACCTTGATCCGCCCTTGTCAACCATTATCGCTTAATATTGAAACTCTTCAACCTTCCAGCATTTTCATGCTGGTTTTTTGCAATATGATCTGGAAAACCAAGCATTATTCAACAAAACAAAACTGCTATAAAGTGCAGATATTTTCCTACTCAATTGTTGTTTAGAGTTTTTAAAATACGTAAAATCAAAAGAGAACTGGACGGGTGTTTTCACTCTTTCTTACTATAGATTTAACATTTGTAAAAATTTGTTGAAGAATTTTGCTTCCGTGTAGTCCTGCTTCCGTGTAATGTTCAAGTGTTTTTCAAGTATGGAGAGAAGACGGAACAAGGAAAACACATATTAATTTATTTCCACCAAACAAATTCTACAGGTTAAAAAAAAACAATCAAAATTGTTTAGTTTCTATTGTCTTAAAGCAATTGAATATTGTAGGCGACACGTTTCCTTGTCTTCCTGTATCCAGGATACTAGGAATTCAAAGTTAGTTTAAATTCTGCTTATAAAAAAGCAAACAATAATATCTGCGTGACATAGTTCTACCGCCAATATAATATATAAACATGACCTTTCTACTGAAAATTTATTTATTCATGTTTAAGCTTATGAAACAAAAACCGTTTTTGCTGCTATGCAATCTCTCAGTGAGTTTTTCAATTATATCTGACAAAATCAGTTTTTGTTAAGGTCAATGACCTATATCTTGCAGACATTTCCACAAAGAAAAATGCTATCAAATCCTTCAAAAACATGGATTATATAATACCTTTGCTTATTTTTTTTTATATTGTAGGTTATTGTTTCATGACAAATAAACCATGTATTACACGTTAGGATTTCCTTACTTACTATCCTAAACAAACATCATGTCGATACCAATGGCCAGCTTCTACTTACTCTACGGAATATCGTCGAAAAATATACAGCGAATTTCAATATGGTAAAAGCAATATTTAAATCCATTTCGTGTTAATTATTGCCATTTTATTTTATTTGAAGTGGTCTCATGTACGTGTATGCCATATACTGTATTTTAATAAAACAAATTGCCAATGACTTTTCATACATATCTAGCATGTGTCTAGATATCTAGTAAGCACAACTTGAAACCATGTTCTCTCTCTTTCCGTGCAGGTTTACTTTTATAAATTTTGACTTGGATGGAGAGTTGTCTCATTGGCACTCATACCACATCTTCTTATATCTAGAAACTATTTTGTGCAATGTATACTATTACATGCATAATTAGACATTTAAAACTAGAAGTTATGTTTAATTAATTTGAAATATTAACTTTCTATACTAAGACTATAATTTCACTGTTGTTTATGTGTCCAATACCTGACATACGAGTATTAAAAATAGAACAAATGCTCTGTTAAATAACAATGTTAATAAGGATATCTAAAACGAACTCGAGTTCGTTCGATTGCAATTGGTTTCAATTACAATTCGTTTTATAAAGCTAGATTATAATGCTGCAAACATGCACAAGCATTTTGAACCCGAATTATAGATTTGACTTTCAATACACTTGTTGTAATTGGAGTATTGTGAATTTCAATTCATGTAAGTTGACCTATCATAAATAACTTGAAAGGAAATATGCCAAAACAGTAGGCCAGGGATCATAGTTGATCAACGTTTATGATAGAGAATTAAATGATTTAAGAGTTTAACATAACTGTTCTTGAACTAATAAAGCCATGCTCCTCCCCGGCAAAAAATACTGCACCATTTTGTGTATTTATGCATATTGGATGGCGCCTTTTATTTGCAAGTAGTGGGAAGTTCTGGGTTATATCTAAATCGAACGGTCATATTTGTAAATCTTTGCAGTTACTATACTTTTGATCTATCTGTTGACGTTTATCCTTTTTGCATTTGGGTTACTAAGGAAATTCACTAACATTAATTTTGTTATTTAGTGTTTTTGAACTCAATAAGACATGTTAAAAATAGAAAAAATAATTTCTTAGGTTTTATTAGAATTATACCATCAGCTATTTTCATACTTGCATATGAATAACACCCCCGGGAAATACTTAGATAAAACGTAGTAAGCTGCTTTTGAGTCGCCACGCTGCGTCTAAGTGGAGACTTAATTTATTTTCCTTAAAAGTTAATATCTTGTCAACGAGATCAATTTGTTCATTTTAACATGACAATATAAAAACACTAACTATTTTCCATTTTGTAATTCAAATCTATCGAAGCAAGTTAAATACCTACTTTTTTACATTATCATTTAAAATTAGTATATAAGAATTAAGGTCATTTTACCGAGTCATTCATTGTGTATTGCAAGGAGGATTATCGACAGACTTCAATTATTTATATTTATAAAGACACGAGCGCAGTTGACAACGGTATATTTAACCGTGTCATATTGTTATACGACTGTGTAAAAGTGAAAGGACTTACATTCATGGTTAAAAGGTTTAAAATGTAATTCTTTATGGACAGGTTTAAAATTACAGCTTGAAATTATACTAGTTGGTAAGAATGTTATTTACATAATTATTTTCTACAAACTGATTATATAAGTGGTTTAATCTTTGGAACAAAATGGATTTAGATTTTTTTGTCTGCTTTTATAAATTTCCTTTCATCAATAAAACATTTACGAATGACATTGCATGCAATAACCATCATTGTAAGATTGTGTGTCATTCAAAGTAGTGTTATTCGCCAAATTTCATTTTTGATATAGCTTTTGCCGTTCATTTTATTTAAATGTCAAATTGATTTTCGTGTTTTGATGAAAGATACCAGAGGAAGATACCTTTTTTTAATTAAGTATACAAATATAATTTCTGATTTGGTATGTTTGTTTGTTTGCTTAGTTTTATTTTCTTTCAAATATCATGCATCTTCTCCGTGTATCTTTGATTACAACACGAATAACTATTTTGAAATTTTTGATAGCAAACACGGAATTAAAGTGTATGTTAAAAATTGAATAAAAAAAAAAAGAAAAAAGAAAAGGCGAAAAGAATCCCTAATGTTGAATTTTAAAACTTTTGTTTTCAATTTTATTATGTCTAGGTCATTTCTGTTATTAAAAGTCTTGCGTCAATCAAAATTGTCAAAACTTTCCAACTAGTTAGGAAGAAGGTCATACATACAAATAAAAGCACAACTGAATGTGGCATTGGGCTTGATGCTATTTTCATCTGTTACATTAGAATCGTTCTTTTTCAATTGTTTTATCTTGAAATCGACAGTGCCGGATTCGGGTGGGGCCGAAGAGCTGGCATCCCTTCTTCTTTTTTTATTGATTTTTTTTGACATAAAATCGTCAAACAGAAATCTCCTTTCTACGATCTGAGATATTTTTACCATTACAGACAATTCCGCACTCTCTTTCCTAAAGTTCAATTCACCTTAATGATCTTATTACCAATCTTTTGATTTTCAAAAGATTTCCTTTAATGTATTAGTTTTTATCCAACACCATCAAAGACTTATTAGGAAGCGGACGCAAATAACACCACAAGTTTGGCCTTACAAAAATCTAAATAATCAAAAGGCATATTGTTTTGGAAGTACATGTATACGTAATAAATGAAGCAAATTAGGCAAAAATTAAAAGTGTTATCAGATAGTTTTTCAACGAAACAAAAACGTCAGATATAGCTATACAAAAAATACAAAAGATTAGCAGACTTACATATTAACACCATAGAACAACAGATGTGTACTGTTGCGCAAGTTGAACTTAAACAATCCCTAGTGAATATATTCACATTTCGCTTTTAAAAATAATTATTTTCTTTCAAATTATTTCCATTCATATTTTAGTCTGGCTCCAAACGTGACTCGTTGGCCTTTAAGGTGTGCATAATCAAGAATCAGCTGGCACTCGCTTGTTAATAACCTTTAAAATGAAAATATGTGGTATGTTAAAAGTTATGATTTTAGTTAGACAACTATCTACTTAAACAAATGGAAAATAATGTGAATATCTACATTATGCACACGCACACATATACAGGCACCCTATTGTCTTTAGCAATGAGCAAAAACCTCTGCAAGCAGGGGGCGGATCCAGCCATTTTTAAAAGGGGGGTTCCTAACCCAGGATAAAAGGGGGGGAGGTTCCAACTATATGTCCCCATTCAAATGCATTGATCGTCCAAAAAAAGGGGGCTCAAACTCCCGGATATATTGTATAGTTGTGCAAATAAATGGTTACTTTTTAGGCGACTTTTGGTATATGCAATCTAGAAAATGTGTTTGCTCAAACGTATAAACATTGGTGCACATGAATTATGTCGCAAATGAACGTTTAATTTGCGCAAACGGAGAATGCTAGCCTTAGCACACATGGACATATCGCAATGGGCCTTTCAAATTAGAAAATTTGAATTTTTACATATGTATACACCATATAATAAATGTTATATTTATTTATAGTGTTTACATTTTTCATTAAATTTTTATAACACATATTAAAGTATACACTTAAATGTTTACTCAATTCTTGATGAAGTTTTGCAAATATTCCAAATATAAGTAGATTTATATCACTATATTAAAGTATATTTAATAGCAAGAATTCAATGACAACAATAATACCTATACAATTTGATTGATGACCGTCGAATACACATAATTGGTTTTTATTCAAATGCACTATTCAATGCCTTCTTTTTACGTTGTAAGAAAAGAGGTTTTAGATTTCACATGACAAAGAAGAACGGATTTAATTATTTTTAAGATGAAATTAAATGCAGTGCGTAGTCCGGGAGAGAGAATGGAAATAAAGGAAAATTTTTATTCTACATTAAGTAAGATCCATTATTGACAACTGTTAATGTATTTTTCAATCAAAAAAGGAAAAGGAAAAGATTTAATGAAAGTAAGCGAAAAATAAAGTCTTAGATATGCTAGCTACAATTTAATCAATGATTTTGTAATTCTAGTAATATTTTAATATAAATGACCTTTAAAATGAAAGAATTGTCTTGAAATTATATAAGTTGAATAAAGGAATACATGGTTTCGTAATCGTTGTCAAAAATAAAATAATAAATAATAAATAATAAATTGGAAAAAAGCAACGAAATATCTATATACGTTACTACTATGAAAATAATCCATCAAGCAGAAGGGGGATGGGGTATTTCTTTGTACGTTTGGTAAATGTACTAAGTGACTGTATACTTTCATCTTTACACTGGTCAAAAATATATATAGGAGTTTGAACAAAAAAAGGTATGACATTTGTTAAAATTTTATTCCAGTGTAGTAAAAAAGTTATATTACATTTTGATAAACTTGCATATTGACCTAAAGTAATATTTGTTAACATCAACTATTATTATAGACTTACATGTAGTGCATTACGAAATCAATTTAAAATCAGTACTTTTAGTATATTATAACATTTTGCATATTGACTTAAAGTAATATTTGTTAACATTAACTATTCATCGACTTTGTGCATTACGAAATCAATTTAAAATCGGTACTTTAGTATATTAAAACATGTGTTACGGAGAGGACTTAAAAAGAAATAAACACTTGTTTATGATTTAAAAAGGAGATTGATGTATTCTTAGGGTACAAGATAAAGTATGGAAATGCATTAACCTTTACGTGGTAAGATCTCTTGTGAAAGTCTGTATAAGGCTCGCTTTGTTAGATGATGATCATTTCTGAATTAAATAAAGGCAACAGTAGTAAACCGGTGTTCAAAAGTCATAAATCGATTTAGAGAAAACAAATCCGGGTTACAAACCAAAATCGAGGGAAACACATTAACTATAAGAGGAAAACAAATGAACAACAGGAACACCGAAGTGCAACAAAAACAAACGCCAACACACATAGAAACACACTTATTGATAACAACTGCCATATTCCTGACTTGGTACCGGAAATTTTAAGAAAAAATGGTGGGTTGAACCTGGTTTCATGGCATGCCAAACCTCCCGCTTCATGACAATGTTTAAAAATATCGCTAAAACACTACGTGACAGTTCAATGCAAAGCACCGAGTAGTAATATGTTTTGATTTCAACAACATTCAGAACAAAGTTTAGCATTAAGAGGTCCGTAAATGAACTATTTAAGGTAAAACAATCTATATCTACTTTTTTATCTTTTTCTTTATTGCTAATAGAAATTGTCTTCTGGTTCTCTTTTCAAACACTTTCAATTACTAGTACTAGATACCATATATGTATTGGCCGTTACAGAATATGATGGTCTGAATGTGGTTTCAAGATAGAGAATATGGACAAAAAAATACAATAGAGAAAAGTGACAAAAATAAAGAATAGAGAAAATCACTAAAAAAAATAGAGATTATACATAAATGAAGACCTTCATCAAGACGCTCTGATATATGAGGTATAAATTACCTTTCGAATGGTCAATTGTTTTATCGATATAACCGTCCCCCTCAAATCGATCATTACTCATCACCGATTTTTATTACTGTTTATGAGTGAATTGCAAAATCCTTTGGTTGAGCAGGAATAACTTACAATCCGGAGCACGCTATTCCAACCGAGGAGTTGATAGGGGATCGTATTGCTTAATTTTTAGTTTCTCTGTAAGTTTTTTTTTGTACTATTATAAGTCTTTTGTGTTTTTTCGCTATCGTCCTGAATAAAAATAGAAACGAAATATTTGTTACTGGACGTTAAACAAAAAATCAATAAATCAACAAAAATGTAAAACTCGGGGTGATTTAGAGCTAGACACATTGAATGCATATATATATATATATATATATATATATCAAACGTGATTTACGTTCTTGAGTGTCCTATATGTGGTCTCCAATATGTTGGTGAATCTATGCAGCCATTTCACAAACGCCTTAATGGCCACAGGAGTGACCTCACAAAACAACCATATATTCCTGTCAGCCAACACTTCAGGTTACCAGATCACAATCTGAAAGATTTTGATCACATGAAGATCCTTGTGATCGAACAGGATTGTACATGGCAATATAGGCAAAGAGAGAATCGGGAGAAGTTTTGGATAAAAACACTGGGTGTCCTCCATCCAGATGGAATCAATAGAAAGAAATAATTAAATATACAGTCTAATGTTTATATTATGATATTCATGACTTTGGATTAAAATCAATCGACCAAAACTTACCTGTATTATTATTGATCTATGTTTACACCTTATACATTATATATCATATAGATATAAGAAGATGTGGTATGAGTGCCAATGAGACAACTCTCCATCCAAGTAAAAATTTATAAAAGTAAACCATTATAGGTCACAGTACGGTCTTCAACACGGATCCTTGGCTCACACCGAACAGTAAGCTATAAAGGGCCCCAAAAAATTACTAGTGTAAAACCATTCAAACGGGAAAACCAACGGTCTAATCTATATAAAAAACGAGAAACGAGAAACACTTATGAACCACATCAACAAACGACAACTACTGAACATCAGATTCCTGACTTAGGACAGGTGCAAACAAATGCAGCGGGTTTAAACGTTTTAATGGTACCAAACCTTCACCCTTTTTCTGAAACAATAGTGTAACATCACAACATAGAAAGACACACATTATTGTTAAAACTTTTAACACTGAGGAAGGCCATTTGTTGAGCCGAAATATTTGCAATTATTGTATAATTTATATCATCTGTTCAGTTTTTCCATCTTTGTGCGATGATATTCAACACTTTTTAGTGTTTTGTTTTCCATCTATTTATCGGTATTGTTACACAATCTTTTAGACTCATATAATTTTCCCTGTTTGTGTAGTATTGTCAATTTTGATGATCCAATACCTATTAGTTTACTGGTTGGTAGATTCTTATAGACTCTATATATATATATAGATAGATTTTTGTCTATTGTGGAAGATAGTATGTTGCTTAGTAGTTTTATAGTTATTTTTTTCGTTTGGTTGCTGCCTCATTGATTAATATCTCCTTTAATTCGTTGCAATTATGTTTACCAAAAACAACTACCGGTATGTATACTCCAAAGCAATCACCGTACAAAAACTATGAAATTGAAAGTCATTGCATTTGACTATTTTTGTACTTGCAACTTCACAGTATATTTGAATTCTTTCAAATTCAAGGAAGTCACCTAACCTAAGAAATATTTTATTGTTTTACTATATGTATACTGTTTGTATATTAAAGAAGTGATTTGAATAGGACCTTATCTATAGAAATTAAACACATAAAACAAATATTTGCTGCAAAGCTAATAAAATCGGATTTAAAATGTGTTATAGATGTTTCAGTAGATCAAATCACTTCAAATTGTTTGCTTTTGGCTTGAGATTTAATTTAATTTTCAGCCCTATTTTTCGTTGTTATGAGACAGGTATTCAAGTGTATACCTTAGAAGTGGTAAGAAAGTATATGGTGTATCAATTCATGACACAAAATCCCTTGTTATATAAATAAGCATACATACAAAAAAACTAAAAGCAAAGGAACAATGCAGCGGAGGATATAATGTTTCGAACCGTCCGTTCGTCCGTTTGTCTGTCTGCCATTACTTTGTCGCAATGAGAGCGCTTTCATTTTTGTCGGATTCTTTTCAAGATCAAATGAAGAAATCCACTCATCAAAACAACGAATGTGTTCGATAACCACATAACGTGATAAGGGAACCATTCTTTCCGAGAGGGGGGTTTGTAAAAATATTCAATATTGATTCTTTTCGCTGGGATGCTCTCTTGATTTCTTATCAGAACCTCTTCAAATTTGTATGATGGGTTCTCTTTCTAAAAACCTCGGCTATGTCCAATAACCAGAAACAAACTCTGAAATGAGAGACTATTTTGTTCATTGAAGGCTTTTGTCATTTAAGTATCACTGGCAAATTATGCTCGTATGTTTTGTTATGAAATCAATTTCACTTATTTGTATACTTCTTTTTCAGACGGTTACTAAAGAAAAAAAACATGGCGTCAACAAAAGAAATCGGTGATAACGCCCAATTAACCAATAGTGAGAATAAAGACAGCAAATCGGAAAAACAACAAAAAACCAATGAGTCAGACGGAATTGTGCAGAATCAAAATACAAACGAAAATTTGAAAGTAGATGAAATAGAAAAATATTCAAATACACCCTCGGATGGAAAAACAATTCAAAAAGAGCCATCCATTATTATAGAAGTAAGGGTTCCGCAAAGTGCAAATGCTGAGTCAGAAAATAACAAAGAAACGTCAGGTTTGGTTCAAATAACTAATGGGACCGAAACCGAGGAAGAAAAATCTGAACGAATACCGAAGACTGAAAAGCTTACAGACGAAAATGACATGGACGAATATGATCCAGATTTATATATAACAGACGAAGAGAGAAAAGCATTCGAGTACATGTTAGATCAGCGGCGGGAGGAGATCGCGAAACAACGTGAAACTTTCAAGAACTGGGCTGAGTCCATAACGAGGCGACGAATGTTTGCTTTAAGTCGACTTCGTAAAATAAAACAATGTCATAAGGAAAGAATGGTATTTTATGAACAAATGGAAAGTTATATAAAATCAGCTGATGATGTAATAAATTCAAATGATAGTACAGAACATAGTGAACAGACTTCTTGCGATTTTGTAAAAGAATCAAATAATCAAACGTTTGAAGATTTAGTGAGAGAAAATACCGGATTTGTTCTGAAAAGTGACACAAAAGGAAACGAATTCAATCAAAGTAAAAACAGTGACAATTCCGACAACGAAAATATAGAAACGAATTCAAAACGTAAACAAAAAAATTCTGCAAGTGAGGATAATGTAGAAGACGTTATTTTGAAAACAAACGGTAACGCTGATGACGATTGTAAGCGTAATATATCAAACAATAATGAGAGTACTCCCACCATAGTACCTGTTACTGTCCAGTCCTAATTATCATATCTCGCTCATCCTAATGTATGAAAGGTGCTTGTGTTTTAAAACATTAAATAAATATATTTTTTTTTGTTATCAGTTCTGTTGTTTCTGTAGATGACATGATCTTTCTGGTTAAACAGACCTTTTTTTCATGTCATATTTGTCATAAAATTATGTCAACCTTATCTAAGGTCATTTGTAAAACTGAAAAAAGAGAATATGGTGAGTTCATGACATAAAAATTCTCTGGAAAAAATGGAAAACAATAGAGCAACGCTATTTTTTGCTTTCATTTAAGATTCAGGGAATAGATTAAGATTTGAACGAATAAGTTGTTTGTAGTGATTCTCTTATATGAGGGAAGGATTGGATTTCAGAATCAAGACTTAGTGCAGATATTTGACTGATCTGATTCAATCTGGCGTTTGAATGCATCTGGTTTGTCTTGGAATTACAAAATTCCCTTCCCCATTGGGCCACCTTTATTTTGATTTTAAAGTGCCCGTCGTTTCCTCTTGATATTCCTTTCACTTTACGGGCCCTGGATTTGGGATATTCCATTCCCCTAGCGGTATTTAGATTTTTTTAGATGCTATTACCATATTCGTTTCAGTTATATTCTAGTTGAAACTATAGACAAGGCAGTATACTTATCTATAAAGATGCGAAAACGTCAATCAGACAGCTACAAAACAACGTAGTTGAAGATTAACCTACAGGTCATCCTAAAATTGTCTTTATTTTAACAGTGAGCAAGGTGTATTACTATACTAGTAGTGCAAAACATTGCCCTCCATAACGTAATTGAAAAACAACATTTCATCTATGATGTGAACACTAAATCATAATCTCACTTGAAACCCTCATATAGATTTGGTTAACATCGCTAGAACGATTCGAAAGACAAGGATGAAACTGAACAGAACACTCATGCACATATATTAAGAGAAGGAAAAATATCACATTACCGTATATATTTTTCGCAAGTTTTGGACTTTATACATGTGGAATAATTTTTCAAGTCGAAAAATATATGTTCTAGTCATCAACGTAGTTATTCTTACAATGTATGTTATCTACATATTATTGTAACTTGTTACAATACAGTAAACTTTCCTTCCTAAAGTGAGAAAAAAAAATGTATCATAGGACTGACACCTTAGCTTCATTCATAGAAAAGTTCAGGGTTCTTGAATAAAAAAAACACATGAATGAACTTCTTACACCGCCGTGGACATTATGTAAATAATTATCTCCATAATTATTACTTTTTTTGTATCCAAACATGATCACCCTTGTTGACAGTACAAAGTACATTTTTGTTGTCCCAAAATTACCAGCTCCAGATCATAAAACCATTAACTGCTTTCCTTTAACAATGTTATCGACTCTCAATTCGGTTTCTACATTTTTCGAACTGTATGTCTGAATGATCCAGGAAACCAAATAAACTCCTGAGATTTGAGCAATGAAAATGCCGTCCCCTGTGTTAAAGTTATTTCCTTCGTCAATAAATTGTGTGTCGAATTTCTCAATAGAGTTGATTTGAAGTTGTCGGATTCCACTTAGCTCAACATAAAAGACAGGACGTTTCTTCTCTGTTTGAATTTCTGAAAAATACATACATTTAAAATATAGCTAAAAGATTCTTACATTGAAAATAAATCGGTTATTAAACATAATAATACGAATTGACTATGTACATTATGATGATATTGCTCCAAATCAAATAGCCAGGACTGGCTTCTTGTTTTAATGATTTAAAGTCCGTAGATTCCTTGGAAGTTTGAAAATTCTGCACAACAAAATTATTGAAAGCAATATGATAGCACCCCTTCGAATACAACTATCCATTGGCGACCAAAGGACGTGGGTGTAAGGATAACGTACAGCCTTCAACAATGAAAAATGTCGTATATAATAAGTAAAAAAGGTCCCTGCATAGAAAAAAAAATGAGGACCAATTCAAACGATAAAACCAACGGCCTGATTTATGCTAAACATCTCATTTTCTTTTTTTAATTCTAATCGTCAAAAGTTAAAATCTTGAGATGCAGTAGTTCATGTATACTCAGGACTAATAAAAATTAAAACATTGCAAAATTTTAGTCGAGGGGGCAATAAAAAACGGAAAGTTAGGTATTTATGTCCCTAAGCAACTCTCTTTATTATTTTTTTTTTTAATTTTTGTATGTCAACGAAAAGAATTTCTGTGTAGTCAAGAAATGCATGGATTCAACAAGATATTAATATGGTATTGAAAGTGGTTGTAGAAAAGGCGGACTGAAACTGGAAAATAAAGTGTACGCAGGACTGTCAATGAAATTGAAATACTTAAGATACCAGTAGAAAACAGCGAATTCGAATCAGTGAACTGCCAATAGACAACAAAGGGCTATATTGCGTTAAGGGAACTGTCAATAAAATACATGATGAGCGGACTTTCAATGGTAGACAGCGGATAGGCAACTATGAGTTAAAGCAAAATAGGCGGAGTGTCAATGCAAAACAGAGAGGCGACAGATAGACAATTCATACAACGACTCATAAGACTGAAGAAGAGTATCAATAGGATGTCAAAGATAGGCGGAAGATACTAAAGGACATTCAAAAAAAAAAAATTTCGGAAAAGAAAAACCATAGCAAAATATATAAAACGTACGAAAAGACAGACAACAGTCTATAAAACACTACATGGTTAAAGAAAACTAAAGACTTAGAAACACGAACCGTACATAAAACTCGGGGTTGATTTTCGATGCTTCGGAATGATCACCAGATACCGCTCCACATATGTAAAAAAATAAGACTGTCGGCAAAAAACGTAGAGTTAAAGGACTGTCAAACAATATTATATAATAAGCTAACCGTAAAAAAATTTATTTTAAATTGAAAACAAAAAGAGTACAAACAGTAAACCAAAACCAATAAAAAAAAGCTTTGTCCCGTAAGCGAACAACAGGTCTCCTCAAAACCTGTTATCGCCTCTCTTAAATGATTTCAAATTTAGGGCCAAAGACGAATATTAACACTTCGCATTTCAAATGTCGGATCCTACAGCTAAGCAGGAAAATGTAGGTAACTCGTAAGCATTTGTACATAGGGAAAGAAAAAATACAAACATATATAGGATTCCATTACAGCAAGCAAAAAGTATAATATTATAATAAACTTTGAGGGGAAGAAAATAATTGCAAAACACAAAAAAATAATAATGTTCAAGTGTGTCTTTTAGTGATTAAATGTTGTTAGGTTGCTGCTTCATTGAAGTATATCCCTTTATTCATAAAACCTTTACTTACTAGTTTGAAGATTATTCAGTACGTCGCTCATATTATTTATCCATGCATAAAACCAATAATTCGAAGGACCTTTTTAATGAATCTGTTCTATTTTCAATTGTTCCATTGCTAATTGATTTAGTTCTAACTTAGTTAGAATAAAATAACTCCAATATAAAGTAAAATCTAAAAACTCATTTTCCTATTTCGCTGAATGATTCTACTTATTTGTCAAGGATACCTTGTAGTTATTTGGGTGTGTTTTGTATAACAATTTACTTATATGTAATATAAGTATTGTTTATAGAAACAGCCATCCTGCTTACACTTAGTAATTAATATTATGATACAGATGCTTTCTGAATACATTTAATTAAAATATACACCCCACTTGTTACAACTTGAGGTTAATTTCTCTGCAGCTGGTATTTGACAGTTTGAAGTTACAACTGCAATTTCTCACAGGAGGCACGCAATTAGTTTCTTTATCAGATACATGTCTATACGATCACTGTTGATGAGGAAAAGCAGGATATGATACCAGATCTTATAAAAATTCATTTCACAACAATTAGTTTTATTATCTGAAGGCCAGGGACATTAGTCTTCACACCACTCACGTACACTAACTGTGAATAAAGCCATATGTATGTTTCTTGTTTCATATCAGTCAGACTAGTTAATTTAGTTTTTCAGTGTTATTATTTAACTTGATTAATTAACTTGACATAAACAACTTCTTTTTTTTTACTTTTATTATTGTCACAATGTGGCTTCATTAGTTGGACTCTTACATGTACCAACATTATATAAATAACACATAGCTGAGAGGGTGATTGAGCAGATTGTTACCCCGAGAAAACATTGTCAACTGAGGCGAAGCCAAGGTTGACAATGTCTTTTCGAGGGGTAACAAACTGCTCTATCACCCTCTCAGATATGTGTTTTTAATTTATTATACTGAATGTTCTGTTATTACAAATTTTAAATTCAAAGTAATAAACTATGACGTCTTGTACATAACAACCATCCGTATTTAATAAAGCGCACACTTGATCAAGCGTCTCCGTGAAGGGTAATAGAGTATTTGCCATAGGATAGAGTCGTATTTAATAAAGCGCACATCTGATCAAGCGTCTCCGTGAAGGGTAATAGAGTATTTACCATAGAATAGAGTAAATTGTCTCCCTCGTATTAACCAATCAAAATCTGGCATTTTGACATGAAGTATAATAAATTTTTAATGTTTAACTCTTTGAATATTAATTTGTTTTATTTTCACATTTGGATGTTTAATTAACCCAGTTTTAAATGTTTGCAAACTTAATTGTGTAGTACATGTTAACACTAAATGGATAAATTAAAAGGGAAACTAACAATATAGACTCTTTTTCACTTGTCAAGCCAGATTGAAGATTTATGAAAGCTAATTGTTAACAGATGTAGAGGGGAGGAGTAGATAACATTGTGGCCAAATAGTAAAAATGTGAGAGACAAAACTACAGGTGAATAAATATACAAAATCTAGCATGTATATTATGCCATAGAACATACAATTACCGCAATGTAAGAAATAACCATAACGCAATTCACACTACAATATAAGGAGAATGGAATTGGATGAAATTGAATAAGTCGAATCAAGTATTTCTTCATATTTATCCAACGACGATAATGAGTCCTGATCAAATCAATATCTCCGTGTAAAGCAAATCAGTGAACTCCCAATAAATAGTAGCGAAAAGCTCTGTTCTGAAAATTGTCTATTGACTGACATGCTCTGTATGGCGATACATTAGACGAATAATCAAGTAAAGGAACAATACAAGAGTTAAACATTTTTCCATATCAGTTATATCCGAAGTTTTTGGTATTGTAAATTTTTGCATTTCTATTTCCCAATACGCGTTCCCAACTTTTCAGAAGGATATATGAGTTAAACAAAAACTGCCGTTGTAGCTAAATCCAACACTCATGTAGTACTTGTACTGGTTAACTACTGTGGATTGCTTTTTTTTGGCAGGGTTTACATTTCGCGATTTCAAGTGACAAGATGGTTAGTTTTATTTTTGCGATTTTCTTGTCACTGATTGTGACTTTCGTTTTCATAGTGATTAAGATTATAACAGAATGTTGACTGCTGTACCCCAATTTGTGATATTTTGACCTATTATCTCTGTTACTTTTCTCACACATTGTTGTCTATATAATTGAATGCGACTGTCATACAAGTGAGAGGTTTAGCTAGCTATGAAGTCAGGTTTAAACCACCATTTTCTACATACGGAAATGCCTGTACCAAGTGCGGAACATGACAGTTGTTTTCCATTCGTTTGATATGTTTGAGCTTTTGATTTTACTATTTGTTAAGGGACTTTCCGTTTTGAACATTCCTTGGAGTTTGGTTTTTTTGTTATTTTACTTTTTCCCATGGCGATTTTTTATCGCACGGCAGCATGTTCGAGTTGAATTGTTACTCTCAAAGTATGCAAACAACCATAATAAAAGGATTTTCAGGCCGAGCTTGTCAGTTTTCACGACAATGATATATTTTTCTGTTCCCATAACCCGCTTATTTGGTCCTCATTGCTCTTCATCTTCGTACTTTATTTGGCCATTTAAACTTTTTTTATTGGAGTGCATCTGGTGAGTTTTTAAGAAGAAACTCGCGTCTTGCGTTACTTTTAAGCCTAGGAAGTATGATGAGCTATAGTTAATAGGCCAAATGCTTTATAGTTAATGCGTGTGAACTATTATGGATAAAGTTACGTATTTTCTTATTTTTAATTCGTTCATCGACTTTTTTCTGTATGTTTTCAAACAATTTTGCGATTTTTATAAATGCTTCAAGGCAGTGCTGTTCTAAAGAAGACTTCTGTGAAATTCTTTGTCAGAAATGATCATTTTGGAAATGGGCGATAATATATGGATTTTTTCATCGGATGAATCTTATGGAGTATATCAGCGTCTCGAGTTTTAATCAAAACCGACATGATCGTAATACTACGGTACAGTTATTTAATTTTACGAACAAAATAATAATAATAAATAGTTTTACAGGTCATTATAGCTTTAAGAAAGGCATACACATATACATACATAAACAGCCAGCAAATTTATAAGGCGTCTGAAAATCTAAAGACTTAGCAACACGAACTCCACCAAAAACTTGGGATGATCTCAGGTGCTCCGGAAGGGTAAGCAGATCCTGCTACACATTTGGATGTTTTGGTAGAACAACTCATTCCAACTTGTTTGCATTTGGTTTGAGACTTTAAATTAATCTTATTTTCAATTCTTTTTTGTACTGTTATGAAACAGTTATTAAAGTGTATACACATATATACACAAGTGTTCCTTGTTGTTCATCATCTCAGCGTCACAGTAAAGTTCACATGATGGAGTGGACCAACAACGACAAAGGAAATTCTGAAGCAATATCGAAGAGTAAATATTTTAAAGGAAAAAAAAAGCCATCGATGAGGGTGATCCACATTCATATATGTAATATCATTGTTTTTTAAAGTATATCTTAGATCAACGTCGAAAGAAGATAACGAAAAAATGAGGACACTGATACTGTAAAGAGGCGGTGATTTTTGCTTTGAGTCGACAATGTTATATGAATAAACCTCATTAGAAAAAAATGGTATTTTATGAAAATTTTATAAAATCAGCTGACGATGTTTATAAACTTCTTTTTTTTCATTTACTGATACAATTTCTGTCTTTATACAAGGCAAATTGCATGACCGTTTTCACCTTTAAAAGTCCTGTGTATTTAATTCTAAGATATTTGATAAACTATAGCATCATATAGAAACAAAATATGTACGTGTGTGTAAAAAAAAAGTAGTTTTTTGTATCAACAGGTGTTTTTTAGACGGATAACCTGTTGCCGTTGTGATAGTAGATTTTCTGGTTGTTATATCTTTTTAAAAAGTAAACAGAACTAGATTCTCTGAAAATATGAAATCTTAAGTGGAAAAATCGGCCATATAACTCAGCTTACTAAAACAAATTCACAAAAAGTGTGTGTTTTGCAGAATGTTCGTCATTTCTTTTTTGCAATGGTTTTCTTCACGTGTGTTTCCGTCCCACTTCTTTTGTATTTTCTGTCTAGTTCTGTTTTTTAATGCAAGTATTGTTAGAAGAAAACAACACAAAAAGCGATTACATCACAGGACATCGGTTATATGAATACAACGAGTACAGGAAACGTCATAAGAGAACGAAAAGAAAATATGAAAAGCATACGGACTAACAGATACCAAAGGATGACAAAATAGAACTTTGGCTTTTATTTCTTGTATTTTTTTGGAAAACGTCTTAAAATATGTGTAATTATTGTAAATTTAAATTAAAGATGTATAAACTACATTGTTGCACACGCTGGTGTAACCTTATACAGTAAATTATACAGTTTTTATAAACCCTCCTTACGGAAGTAAAAACAAATGTAAAATATAACAGACATTTTTTTCAAATACATTAATTCAAACGTTCATACTTCTTGGATAAAAAGTCCCATGAATGAACTTCTTACGCCGCCGTGGAGGTCATTAAAATAATTGTCTGTATAATGGTTGTCTGTTTGAATCCAAACATGACCGCCTTTCTTGACAGCGCAAAATATATTTTTTGTTGTCGCAAAATAACCTGCTGCAGATCCTAAATTTATTAGCTGCTTCCCTTTAACAATATTATCGACTCTTAGTTCGCTTTGAACCTTTTGCGACGAATGTGTCTGAATAGACCAAGAAAATAAATAAACTCCCGATATTGGTGCAATAAATATTCCGTCTCCAGTGTTAAAGTTATTTCCTTCGTCTATAAATTGTGTGTCGAATTTCACAATAGAGTTGATTTGAAGTTTTCTGTTTCCACTAAGCTCAACATAAAACAGCGAACGTTTCTTCTCCGTCGGAACTTCTGAAATATACATACATTTCATGTATTGTTTAAATATACTCATGTTGAAAATAAATCGTTTACTAGAATATTTCATTACAAATTGGCTGTGTTTTTCAACGACACATCATACATTATGCTAATATCGCCCCAAAT